ACATCTTAATATTATACTGATGGGCATGTACTAACAACCTTTACAGAAGCTCAAGGAATTGTACCTGACTCACAGTCCCATACCTTTCTCAGTTTAACACCATGTTGCCCTTTGGATCATCTTTTATCAAATTTTCCCAAAGAACTTTTTCACTGCTTAAAAGATGGTATTTTCATAAAACTGCACTGTCTATGCAGTAAAAAGATGAAAATTCTTTTGAAATAGGTGCAACATGACCAGAGAAAACAGAAGAAAAGGGCTGTGACATTCAATTTTGCTCAAGAGGTAGAAAACTACAACTACTAGGATGCACTGCGCAGCATGGGAGCAATAAATGCTCCTGCTTATGGGTTATGTATTGCGAGCTTAGACAATTTTCCACAGGAAACAATATGGCGGATGGCTGGTGACAAACAATCTTGAATTAACCATTAAACAGTAAGCTAATGAAAACATTTAGGCAAGATATAGCTTATTCAGTAACATAATTTTGGTTTATATGTGATCAGCTTTGCCTAGTTTTACCGTGTGAGGGAGAGAGAGAGATGAGCGGGTCTTTCTCGATCCGCTTCTACACTCTTTGTGTTTGTGGTTGCAGGCATACGAGAAGTGCAATCTGTATTTTGGGCAACAGCCCTATAGCCAGCTCAAATGCCTTGAGAGATGAGCAGGGCAGTTTTAATTTTAAAAACTATTTTATATTTAGTCTTAAGGCCCATTTACGCTCAACGTTAAATACAGATCCGGATACGGACAGAGCCTTCTGTCCATGCTCCGCGTTCGTTTCGTCCGTATTTGTGCACGTTTCCATAAAGCTTACGGATACAGGCCAAACGGAGCAGTACCACCGGAAACCGTGGGGGCAGTGTTGCTGTCACTACCCGATACGTAGCTCTAGTGAGACACGAAAAAGAAATAACAATGGTGTTAAACATCATCTCTATGATGTTACTTCTCCTGGACACCGGGATAAACACATGCTACAGAACAGCTGGGAGGAGATTGGAAGGGAATTAAATGTGAGTTGGTCGGTAGCGAAGGAGAAGTGGGGGTCTGTGCGAGACAGATTTGTTTGGATGTGGGGGGCCACCCGAAGCAAGTTATCGAATGCCCCAGCGGACATCCTAAAGTACTGGAAATGACGCTCGTTGTCAATTTCTCTCATCGGCAGTACTGGAGAAAAGAATTCTCTGTCCTCCAGTGGCGATGTATTTAATGGCCTCACCGACCACCACCTCCTACAACGCTGCCTCTGTTTTTGTCTTTTATGCAAGAGGTACATTATCAATATCTCCTCCACAGTTGCCATGTTTGTTTTTGAGTTTGTTGTTGTCATAAACTTTTGACTCTGGGCTGCCCCCTGGTGGATATATTGGTTAGCATCCATGCCAACGTAAAGGACGCATGGAAGTATGTGGGCAGTGACGGTAACATTGTTTGAAACTGACGTATACATTTTCGTACGTAAAGGGAGCATAAATGGGCCTTTAGTCTTGAGATGATACTACTTATTAGTTTTTGTCACATTTTAGTCATTTTTATTCATCATAGTTTTAGCCGACATAAACTGAAAATGATTTTGGTGACGAAAATTAATGACATTGTCCTCAACTTTTAGTCATTGTGTCTTCTATATGATTTTTATCTTTAAACTAATGCAATTAATGAATCAGAAATTAGAATCAAGATGACAGGTTGTATAACAATTTATTTAGACTTTTTTTTCTATAACTACAATTACTTTCTACACACATACAAATTTGCATTTCTCCAGCAGTATTTGACAGGTTTAATGGATGATTTATGAGCACACACTTCCTGATCATCATTTGAAAAGACTGACCTCTCTCTATTTATGATCTCAAAAACTCTGACACCACAAATAACTAATGAGACAAAAAAGGGATCTGTTCCCCAGTTCATTGTAAACTCTGACTTATCGATCTCACTGTGAAGAAGTAGAAAAATAACTTTACTTCAGCCGGAATTCTTTCTTCATCTGCAACATGTTAGTCTTGAGGTTTTAGCTCATGTCCTCTCACAGAGTTGATGATTATAGCTAAACTTTCAGCCGTAAGAGAAAACTCCACTGAGTTCAGACTGTTTATTCATAGCACAGCAACACTCACAGATAGCGGAACCTCCTACCTGCCTATCAAACAGCAGTCAACACATAAACCTTTTCCAGACAGTCCAGATCTGAGTGGAGTCCTGCGGGGAACAGATGTGAAGACCACCAGCCAGTGGCCGCTTGCTCCACTGCCAGTCAGCGGCTAACAAGCAGAGCTAACAGCTAATAGCCACAGCTGCAACTAACAAACTCCACAAATCCATTCAATACTTCTACCATCCACAGTCAGACACACATGGCTGCTTATTTACTGCTCAGTTACAGCTCAAAACCAGCATCAACGGCTGACAGTGTGTTTTGGCAGGCTAGCAAAACATTCTGGTGCAGACTATTCACTGGGTTTAACCTGCCTGTTGTTCATACAGCATTGGAAGATAATTGCAAGCATGGCCATTCGCGACGAGTCTCATCTCGTCTACCAAAAGAAACCTAGATTCCGTCTTTGTCTTTATTGCCAAGATCTATTTTTAGCTTGTCATCGTCTCGTTCTCGTCATGGAAAAAAGGGCGGTAAAAAATTTGCGTTATAGTTTTCGTCACCTGAATTAACACTGGAGCAGGGTGATCTGGCCACTAGTAAGATGGAACGAAGATTACCACAGTTAATTTGGTTCAATATTGGCAAAGTATCCCCTTAATTAATCAGGGATTGCTAATACAAGATATACACTTTGGATACTACTTTTAAAAATATACAGCTGTCTCCTTAATTCTATAGAGAGGTGGTAGAAAAGCTGCCAGTATCAGTATTGCTAGCTTGACACTTTCAGGGCAGCCAACAAATAGATGGCTACCTTGCCTAAGGCCAACTTCTTTGGCATCAGCAGAAAGAAAAACATATGACGCCATGGTTAATTAACTGCAGATACACCAAACATGTCAAATCTTTAAGGCTTGCCTCACCCATCTGTTTTCCTGGGTTTAATTTCCCTATAAAGTGTTTTTTAATTAACACACAGGTAGCATGTCTCAACTTACGTGAAAATAATAGTGCTAAATTGCCTTATCAGTATACTTAACCATCACACAAACAAACAAAGGAGGGAACCCCGTTATGGAGTTTTTTTTCCCCCCTAGTTATATCATCTTCATCTGAAATGCCACATCTTATCATATGCCTCTTTATAATTACTACCCGTGACATTTATCCAGATTCCTATTGTTTTACAAGACCTTTAGATTTAATTATACTTGATTCTGCACTTCCAGTTGACATAAGAGACCGCAAGTGTGAAGCATCGTTCAAATCCCGATTTTGATTTTTGGCAACATGCTGGATTTCAGAAGGTAATATTTGTTATAATTCACAAAAAAAGTGCATGGTCTATAAGAGGGAGCGCCGTCCTATCCAACTGCCAAATAAGATAGATTGATATTTAACTTTAAATTGTATTTCAACTTTTGATACCAACTAATTTCAGTTTTCTTTAATATAACAAAGCAAAAATGTTTAAAGTGGCTTAAAAGCTAAGAGACTCCAATACAACTCACACAGCTGTCAGCCTTGAGTTTCATAAAACATTCTTTCTTGTCATTTCAATTCATTCTCTCTTTTGTCAGCTGAGTATTATCAGTGTCATTGCAACACTGGGCATGTAAGAATTGACATTTTCCTCCAAGGTTGTTATAGCTGTCTATCTGTCTGTCTGTCTGTCTACATCATCCATCCATCCCTCATGAAAATTTAACACCATGCATCTAAATCTGAATCCAGCTTTTTTTTCTGTACCCACAGTCTCTTAGGTCTGCCTGCAAGTCCCCAACCCCCACCTCCCTCACCACCCCATTTTTCCTTTCTTTATTCTCCCTTTTTGGTTAATTGAATGTTGCATTTTTTTGGAGCAGTTCTAAAATATATAATGAGGTCATTTGCATTAGACTGCAGATTGGGTGACCTTTGCTTTTCCCAATAATTACTGTAAAACTCGTCTCTGTCTGTCATCACCGAGTATGTGGCAGGGACCTCTCTTTGCTCACGAAAGGTTAGCTCGAGGCTTGTGTCTGGACTTATGAAAAAGCCTAAGGAAAATGTCATTAGAGCAAGGGGAAAAGACACTCGGAATTAACAATTGGAAATTCAATCAGGATGGCTTTAAGGATGGTGTGTGCGTGCACGTGTGTGTGTTTGCATGCATGTCTCCGACAGAAGTGCTCTACAGTTTGTCCAAGGAACACTCGTGGGTTAAGAAATTCCTCTCGTCAGTGCAAGTGCAGAATGTGGGAAGAAGGACACCCAGGGGGGCGACTTCTGTTAACGCTGCGGGCCACTTTGACTTTGCCAACACGCAAACAAACTGACAACACAAATTAAACAATCGGGCTGTAAATGTCCCTGCAGCAGTCCTCACGAACATGATAATATGCTGCCACCAATATCTAGAAATTCCATGGCCTTGATTAATTATGCCTGACATTAATTACACCATGCATTTATGAATGGCTCGCAAATTTTGCACCTTTCACCTTGCTGAATTTTTGTAACAGTGCATGATGTTTAATTTGCATGCTGTTATTGGTTGTCATTGTGCAGTGAAACGTGACTGTATTTACCATGTGTTAACTCCCCCTCCCATCAATAACGCGGCCCGAGTCAAAACAGACTTTTTGTTCTACAATCATTCTCAGTCTCCTGAAACTGGGAATGAACCTTTTCGATTCACCAGTGCCTTCCTTACTTGTAAATGTTGAATACATTTTACATCGTTCAGACAATCTCTTAAGGCTGCTTTTTTCACACTGCAGTACTGATCAGTGTGTCAAGCGGCATGCATGAGCTTGCTCAGCTCAGTGTAAAATGATAGTGTAAAATTTTGGAAGGGGCAGAGCAGAGCACTAACATCAGAGGCTCTGTTTTGTGCTCTTGGTTCTAGTCGCAGCGGCGCGTCACGTTTCACCTGCCGGATGGCTCTCAGGAGAGCTGCAGTGACAGCGGTCTGGGGGACCACGAGCCTGTAGGCAGTGGCTCCCTCCTCACACAACCTCTCCCTCTGGTGCAGGCGCAGGACGACTTCTACGAGCAGGCCTCCCCTGATAAGAGGACTGAAGCTGACGGCAACTCCGACCCCAACTCTGGTGAGTTGTAAAATATATTCCATGGCAGACTATCACTTCTTTTGACACAAATGCATGGCTTCTTTGGATTTCTCTCTGTGTTTCTCTTACTGTCTCTTTTGCAAACTGTGTGAGCTTAAAGCATCATTGTAGACACTTTGAAACAGCTGCAGAATGTTCACTTGGTGGACATTGTGTACACAGTGATGGTGTATTTTCTTAAAATACAAAAGGACTTTTCAATTTTCTGCTGATTGAATGGAATGGAAGGCAGCGAAGGAAATCTGAACATGCTTTGTCCTAAAGTGCGGGTTAGAGGAAATGAATGTTGTTTTCAGATTTTGCTTTGGGGAATGACTAAAACTCCTTGAGCGGAGATGATAAATAGTCATGAAAAACATCAGTCTCTATAAAGAACTCAACGTACCAAATATCATTTAATTTAGAGTCATTTGATTGCTCAAGTAGGTTTCTAGTGGATACACGAGCAGGTCATTCATTTCTCAGTTAATCATCCAGACTTGTTCATTCCTCCCAGGAGCAAACCTGGGCCTCCCATAGGCTCCTCACCTATTTGTGAAACTCATTTGATTTATTTAGAGATGATTTCCCAGTTGGAAGTCTTGGTGCTCAGCTGAAGATGTTAACTTCCCACTATTTCTGGTGGGAATGTACATCTCCGACCCAATTTTCTCATTTTATCATTAAGAGGTGAAGCGTGCGCGAAGATCAAGCGCATCGCCCCAAGGTCGATGCCAGCTTGCCTGCTGAGGGTGGAGCAGCCAGTACCACATAAATACAAGTGCTGTGAGTAAACTGTGTGTGTGTGTGTGTGTGTGTGTGTGTGTGTGTGTGTGTGTGTGTTGTTCCGTACGGGCTCTAACTCAGCAGATGTACTCACAGTTGGCAGATGTACTGTGTGTAGGCCTACTGACTCACTGTCTTCACAAATGAATAGAGCTGCACATGGCCCGATCACGTGCAGTTGTAGTGCAGCTAACTGACAGGCATTGTTGTGAGTAAAAATCCATCTTAAATGTGGTTGAAAGGAAGTTTAGGAGAGCGGGAAAAAATGCGTAACTACCCCATCTGCTAGTTCTTGTATATAGGTATGAGCAAGACAAGGCACCATAATCTGGATCTGTTCAACCAACTAAATCATCTGTATCTGTATCCATACTCTGAATGTGCAGGGTTTTAACTGGTAGTGGGTGGGACTTAACCAGAAGTTGTTACATACTCATTTCATCCCAGTTTTTGGCTTAATCCTACTTTGATCCCACCTCTATGTGGGCAAATGTCATATGTAATAGATGTGACATGTTAAATAATTTATCATTAAATGTTTCACACACAAAATTTAAATAGTTAAATTGTCTGAAGGGAAATATCCACACATCTACTTGTCTTGGATGCAGGTGCGTCAGAAAATATCACTTGAGTCTTTGAACAGCAAATCCTGCACGCTGCATTTTGGTCCTCCTGGACCTTCGTCAAGAGTCTTCAACACCATTACTTGCAACACTGAGCTTAAATAGAAACTGCGCCACCCATTTCACAGGTGTGCACAGGTGTGGGGGAATTAATCAGCTGTTGGTGTGTTGCTCAGTAACTGACATCAACCTGTCCACCATATGTCACATATCCCACAAACGAAAGAGCAAGGCAACAAGAACAACAAAGGAAAAACCCATAAACTTCAGGCTCCTTACACAATAAAGTTAATTTATAAGATTATTTACAAAAATGCTGATCTTTCTCTGCAAAGTATTTCTTCCGTGTTACCACCTTTCTCTGGTAGAGTAACTTTTTTTAATGCTCTGGAACCTAAATGATGAGATATCATGTTTGAAGTCGGTGAAATGTACAACTGCGTAATCTATATCATTTCTCCTTATGGAGCTCTTGTGTTCACGTATTCTCTGCTTCAGTGCACATGATGTTTTACCAACATAGGATAACCTACAAGGGCATTTAATTATATAAATTACATGAGTGGTGGAACATGTGATGACATCATTGATGAAATACTTTTTCCCAGTGTGTGGTGAAGTCTGCTTTGATTCATACTTGAATAGTTAAATTGTAAAAATGAAGTGTAATGCTGCCTGGAATCGTGTCACTCCTCTAATGCAGGAAGTAGTGGAACATACGAATACCACAGTAAAACTCACAGTGGATGGCTGTGAGTACAAAGCGTATGTCTTTGGCACTGGAGACCGATACAAGTCAGTGGCAACTTCTTCAATATTTGACCAGACCATGATATTTCCCAAACCTTAAAGTGGTTTAGCTGCCTGACCTTAAAGAGGAACTCGAGGCTTGAGTTGCCTGATGAAAGCTGTATGGTGCTGCACGAAATCTGATAAATTTCCTCCAGTGATGTCACTTGAATCAGTGTCAGTTGGGGCTGAAGACTACTAGTTTTAATAACATAAAAACCAACCGAGAGGAGGTGGAGTTATGGAGTTGTGTTCACTTATTCTCTGCTTCAGTGCATGTGATGTTTGGAGTGGGTTGGATTTAGAAAGAAATTAGCTTACAGGACTTCTGTGGCCACCATCTCTGTCGAAGTCCTGCAGCTGAAGGCTACATTAGCTGCTGTTAGCATACAACTGAGCGTATTGTCGGTGGTTGAGCTGCATTAGTAGTAATATAGGCGTCAGGATGAAAAATGCTTGGAATGAAAAGGGTGAAATCTTTAGTTCTGCTTCATCAGTTTTGATCCTATTTGTTGTTTGTTTTGTCCATACCTTGTAGAAAATACTCCCACACACTGTCACAAAACAGTTTTCCCGATGAAGGTCAGGTCACCAAAACGTTGCAGCATTAAAATCATTATTTTTGCAAGTTAGACAAAGAGAAGCCTTCTTAAGTAGGAGTGGCTGTAAGTTTTGAAATAGTCACGACCTATGTGCAGTGGAATGGCGTAAATACCAATCTTTGTAACAGTTAACATTATTATACATAGAGATTAAGGAATAAAGAAGTAAATATTAAAAACTGCCTAGTGACAATCCTTAACATACTCCAAAACGTTTTCATTTGTTAGGTACAGTACAGGCCAAAAGTTTGGACACACCTTCTCATTCAATACGTTTTCTTTATTTTCATGACTATTTACATTGTAGATTCTCACTGAAGGCATGAAAACTATGAATGAACACATGTGGAGTTATGTACTTAACAAAAAAAGGTGAAATAACTGAAAACATGTTTTATATTCTAGTTTCTTCAAAATAGCCACCCTTTGCTCTGATTACTGCTTTGCACACTCTTGGCATTCTCTCCATGAGCTTCAAGAGGTAGTCACCTGAAATGGTTTCCACTTCACAGGTGTGCCTTATCAGGGTTAATTAGTGGAATTTCTTGCTTTATCAATGGGGTTGGGACCATCAGTTGTGTTGTGCAGAAGTCAGGTTAATACACAGCCGACAGCCCTATTGGACAACTGTTAAAATTCATATTATGGCAAGAACCAATCAGCTAACTAAAGAAAAACGAGTGGCCATCATTACTTTAAGAAATGAAGGTCAGTCAGTCCGGAAAATTGCAAAAACTTTAAATGTGTCCCCAAGTGGAGTCGCAAAAACCATCAAGCGCTACAACGAAACTGGCACACATGAGGACCGACCCAGGAAAGGAAGACCAAGAGTCACCTCTGCTTCTGAGGATAAGTTCATCCGAGTCACCAGCCTCAGAAATCGCAAGTTAACAGCAGCTCAGATCAGAGACCAGATGAATGCCACACAGAGTTCTAGCAGCAGACACCATCTCTAGAACAACTGTTAAGAGAAGACTGCGCGAATCAGGCCTTCATGGTCAAATAGCTGCTAGGAAACCACTGCTAAGGAGAGGCAACAAGCAGAAGAGATTTGTTTGGGCCAAGAAACACAAGGAATGGACATTAGACCAGTGGAAATCTGTGCTTTGGTCTGATGAGTCCAAATTTGAGATCTTTGGTTCCAACCGCCGTGTCTTTGTGAGACGCAGAAAAGGTGAACGGATGGATTCCACATGCCTGGTTCCCACTGTGAAGCATGGAGGAGGAGGTGTGATGGTGTGGTGGTGTTTTGCTGGTGACACTGTTGGGGATTTATTCAAAATTGAGGCACACTGAACCAGCATGGCTACCACAGCATCCTGCAGTGACATGCCATCCCATCCGGTTTGCGTTTAGTTGGACGATCATTTATTTTTCAACAGGACAATGACCCCAAACACACCTCCAGGCTGTGTAAGGGCTATTTGACCAAGAAGGAGAGTGATGGAGTGCTGCGGCAGATGACCTGGCCTCCACAGTCACCGGACCTGAACCCAATCGAGATGGTTTGGGGTGAGCTGGACCGCAGAGTGAAGGCAAAGGGGCCAACAAGTGCTAAACACCTCTGGGAACTCCTTCAAGACTGTTGGAAAACCATTTCAGGTGACTACCTCTTGAAGCTCATGGAGAGAATGCCAAGAGTGTGCAAAGCAAAGTAATCAGAGCAAAGGGTGGCTATTTTGAAGAAACTAGAATATAAAACATGTTTTCAGTTATTTCACCTTTTTTTGTTAAGTACATAACTCCACGTGTTCATTCATAGTTTTGATGCCTTCAGTGAGAATCTACAATGTAAATAGTCATGAAAATAAAGAAAACGCATTGAATGAGAAGGTGTGTCCAAACTTTTGGCCTGTACTGTGCATATATATATATATTTACACATATATCCAAATCTTACAAATATACATTTCCAAATAATCTTACAGGTACATTAGAAAATGAACCTGTAGGGGTATATTTACAGTGAGCATCAATACACATACAGGAAACTTGATAATAAATACAAGGTCAATCGTGAGTCTGACAGTGCTGGTGAGGTACCGTTTTGACAAACCACGAACTATGAAACAAACTATGAGCTATGAGCAAACAAAGAGCAGAAGGAAGTACAGAAAACTAATTAAACATAGCCAGTGAATGTTTCACAGATACATACAAGATGAACCTTTTGAAGTGACAGTGAGAAGAAGTAGAA